TGACGAAGTCTGATTTTCATTTATTGAGGTATTATTGAAAAATATTTATCATACGAAATATGTAAAGAAGCGAAGTTTTATGTTTGCGAAATATATTAATAATTAGTTTTAAATAAAATAATGAAAGTCGGTTGCTATATTTGGTTAAGCGAGTTTACGAGTTTTTCAGACCACAGCAAAGCTTTTTTTATATAGGATAAGAGTGACAAGCGAGCACACAGTCCACCTGATGGTAAGTGGTTGCTGTGTCCCATAGACATCTTCATCTATGCTCGATTACGAATCAAAATGCAGATGCGTTGTCACGCGTGAGGACTTAAATGGAATGCCTCGTTTCCAGTAAAAAGGGTATCCGGTTCTCTACTCTCACCATACAAAACACATGTGTATACATATCTTTACATAAAAAATTCTTTAGTAAATGTGTTTTTTACTGAACTCGTCCAGACAGCTAGACCGATTTTGATGAATTTTTTGTGTTTGTTGAGTCACCCTGGATGGTTTAGGTTCACCACTGAACCCAGTAGGTGGCGCTGTTGTTGAGATCCAGAAATCACCCGTGCGAAACCGGAGCGGATCGCTAGTTTATGGATTTATTCAGCCTTATTACAAAGAGTAGTGTTTACTTAGTCTTAGGGTTAAACTAAAATCTTAAACCAATATTATCAATAAAAAGTAATATGCTAACATCCGCGGGATTAATATAGATGATGTGTTACCGGTAAATACTTACCCGGCTCCTGTGGGAAGTGGGCAAAGGTTGTCGCACCTTACGGAGCGGGTGCGACGTAAGAGGCGAGCCCGGAGAGAGAAGAATGTCAGAGTGAGGTTTGCAAGCTGGAATATAGGTACGATGACTGGAAGAGGAAGAGAGTTAGCAGATGTTTTGAAACGACGAAGAGTGAATGTTGCCTGTTTGCAGGAAACAAAATGGAAGGGCAATAAAGCAAGAGAGATTGGGGAGGGATACAAGTTTTATTATTGTGGAAGTGATGGGAAGCGAAATGGAGTAGGAGTTGTGTTAGATGGTGGAATGAAAGAACGAGTGACAGATGTGAAAAGAGTAAATGACAGAATGATAGTTGTTAAATTAACGATTGAAAACAAAGTAGTGAATGTTGTAAGTGTGTATGCTCCGCAAACAGGCTGTGAAGAGAGTGTGAAAGAGAAGTTTTGGGAGGAATTTGATTGTATGATGATGGGAATACCTGAGCGTGAGGATGTTTATATGAGAGGAGATTTTAATGGACATGTAGGGAGAGTGAATGACGGGTATGAAAGAGTACACGGTGGATGGGGGTACGGAGTGCGGAACCGTGAGGGGGAAGTTCTTCTGCAAGCAGCATGTGCTTTCGACCTGGCTGTAGTAAACACGTGGTTCCAAAAACGAGATCAGCATCTTGTCACTTATAAAAGTGGCCACCACGCGACACAGATCGACTATCTTCTGATAAGACGGAACCAAATCAAGAGTGTAAAAAACTGCAAAGTGCTTCCAGGTGAAGACTTAGTATCCCAGCACCGAATTCTGCTGGCTGACATCTGCTTAACTGTTCGCCTCAACAAACATAAGGATCGTCCCCCACCCAAAATAAAGTGGCATTTGTTGCATAAGGAGGGGTATGCAAGTGAATTTAGAGAGCTAGTTGTAAACAAGATGATAGAGATGGGTGATATGGAAGGAATGAGTGTGAATGAGTGCTGGAAGGAAATGGCTGATTGTATCCGAAGTGTGGCAAGGAAGGTGTTAGGAGAAACAAAAGGGAAGCGTATGATAGAGCTCTGCCATTCTTTAAAGGCATTTTTCTTTTCTCTCAAAACTTCTCTAATACTTTCACTCCACCACCACCCATCCTTATCTATCATACGCTTCCCTTTTGTTTCTCCTAACACCTTCCTTGCCACACTTCGGATACAATCAGCCATTTCCTTCCAGCACTCATTCACACTCATTCCTTCCATATCACCCATCTCTATCATCTTGTTTACAACTAGCTCTCTAAATTCACTTGCATACCCCTCCTTATGCAACAAATGCCACTTTATTTTGGGTGGGGGACGATCCTTATGTTTGTTGAGGCGAACAGTTAAGCAGATGTCAGCCAGCAGAATTCGGTGCTGGGATACTAAGTCTTCACCTGGAAGCACTTTGCAGTTTTTTACACTCTTGATTTGGTTCCGTCTTATCAGAAGATAGTCGATCTGTGTCGCGTGGTGGCCACTTTTATAAGTGACAAGATGCTGATCTCGTTTTTGGAACCACGTGTTTACTACAGCCAGGTCGAAAGCACATGCTGCTTGCAGAAGAACTTCCCCCTCACGGTTCCGCACTCCGTACCCCCATCCACCGTGTACTCTTTCATACCCGTCATTCACTCTCCCTACATGTCCATTAAAATCTCCTCTCATATAAACATCCTCACGCTCAGGTATTCCCATCATCATACAATCAAATTCCTCCCAAAACTTCTCTTTCACACTCTCTTCACAGCCTGTTTGCGGAGCATACACACTTACAACATTCACTACTTTGTTTTCAATCGTTAATTTAACAACTATCATTCTGTCATTTACTCTTTTCACATCTGTCACTCGTTCTTTCATTCCACCATCTAACACAACTCCTACTCCATTTCGCTTCCCATCACTTCCACAATAATAAAACTTGTATCCCTCCCCAATCTCTCTTGCTTTATTGCCCTTCCATTTTGTTTCCTGCAAACAGGCAACATTCACTCTTCGTCGTTTCAAAACATCTGCTAACTCTCTTCCTCTTCCAGTCATCGTACCTATATTCCAGCTTGCAAACCTCACTCTGACATTCTTCTCTCTCCGGGCTCGCCTCTTACGTCGCACCCGCTCCGTAAGGTGCGACAACCTTTGCCCACTTCCCACAGGAGCCGGGTAAGTATTTACCGGTAACACATCATCTATATTAATCCCGCGGATGTTAGCATATTACTTTTTATTGATAATATTGGTTTAAGATTTTAGTTTAACCCTAAGACTAAGTAAACACTACTCTTTGTAATAAGGCTGAATAAATCCATAAACTAGCGATCCGCTCCGGTTTCGCACGGGTGATTTCTGGATCTCAACAACAGCGCCACCTACTGGGTTCAGTGGTGAACCTAAACCATCCAGGGTGACTCAACAAACACAAAAAATTCATCAAAATCGGTCTAGCTGTCTGGACGAGTTCAGTAAAAAACACATTTACTAAAGAATTTTTTATGTAAAGATATGTATACACATGTGTTTTGTATGGTGAGAGTAGAGAACCGGATACCCTTTTTACTGGAAACGAGGCATTCCATTTAAGTCCTCACGCGTGACAACGCATCTGCATTTTGATTCGTAATCGAGCATAGATGAAGATGTCTATGGGACACAGCAACCACTTACCATCAGGTGGACTGTGTGCTCGCTTGTCACTCTTATCCTATATAAAAAAAGCTTTGCTGTGGTCTGAAAAACTCGTAAACTCGCTTAACCAAATATAGCAACCGACTTTCATTATTTTATTTAAAACTAATTATTAATATATTTCGCAAACATAAAACTTCGCTTCTTTACATATTTCGTATGATAAATATTTTTCAATAATACCTCAATAAATGAAAATCAGACTTCGTCAACTGTTAGTCTTTGGTACTAGGGAGATCACGTGCTATCTATAAAGTTGTTTGATTTGCCAATTCATTTTCGGTGTACGTAGGTGGAATAAATTAACTTGTTTAAAACCTGTGGCTGCGTGAGAGAAAAAATAGGCAAAGAACATTTTAAAAATAAATTCTGGCTAAAAATTACAAAAAAAAAAACATGCTTATAAATATATCAAAAAAACAAGAATGGAAGGCTTTTGCACACATCATCGGCCCCACCAGCGCTGGCCACTCCATGGCGGCTCCTCGACGGGAGAGGACTATTCCTCCCCCATCTCTTTCTCAGGTAAGGCCTACCAGACACATGGCCTCCTCCGCGGCCTTTAACTACACCTGCGCAGCGGACGCCCCCATGTCTAATGCACGAAGCCATGGGACCAGGAAAATCTAGCACACTGAAGCACTAGCCTGCCTGACCCATGCAGCGGATCTGATCTATGCCTTCACCACCAAGCAAGATTCGGCTGCGGAGGGTAGGGAGAGTGTTGCCTCGCATTACCGACACTCCTCTCTTCCCGCAGCCCCAACACCACCTTATCAACCGTGCGGTCCCGTCAGAGTCACGGAGGATAGGTGAATGGCGCATCGCCATACCAATACTCCTCTTCCTCCGTGCACTAAACCGCGGCTGCAGTGGTAGGAGGAGAGGGGAGCCACTAGCCGCAGCCCACCAACACACATCCGAAGTGGACTGGCAGAGACCACTAGAAGTGGCCTTCTCGAACGAGCCCCCACGGTGGGAACCCATTTAGGAAGGTACGCACTATATTCTTGCCGCGAGCGAAATTCGATCTGGAGGACATTTATATTATTTATTTGCTTAACAGGCCTCCCTCAAAGAATGCCACAAAGCATGGCCCTGAACCACCTACATCAATCGACCTTGTGTATCACTGACCAGGTGGTCACTTCATCTTGTTGCGCACCGATACGGGGCTTCCGTACCGGTAAGAACCTTTTAACCCCATGAGGTGTCTGTTGTATTGACTGATACGTTGCGCAAGGTTGGGTCTACTACTATTCTCTACTACTTATAAAAGTGGCCACCACGCGACACAGATCGACTATCTTCTGATAAGACGGAACCAAATCAAGAGTGTAAAAAACTGCAAAGTGCTTCCAGGTGAAGACTTAGTATCCCAGCACCGAATTCTGCTGGCTGACATCTGCTTAACTGTTCGCCTCAACAAACATAAGGATCGTCCCCCACCCAAAATAAAGTGGCATTTGTTGCATAAGGAGGGGTATGCAAGTGAATTTAGAGAGCTAGTTGTAAACAAGATGATAGAGATGGGTGATATGGAAGGAATGAGTGTGAATGAGTGCTGGAAGGAAATGGCTGATTGTATCCGAAGTGTGGCAAGGAAGGTGTTAGGAGAAACAAAAGGGAAGCGTATGATAGATAAGGATGGGTGGTGGTGGAGTGAAAGTATTAGAGAAGTTTTGAGAGAAAAGAAAAATGCCTTTAAAGAATGGCAGAGCGTAGAAGACCAGAATGAATCCATAAAAGAAAGTAAGAGAGGGGCGTATAAAGAATGTAAGAAGAGAGCGAAGAAGGAAGTTGCTATTTGTAGGGCAGAGGCGCACGATAAATTATATCGGTCCCTTGAAAGCCCCGAAGGTCAAAAACGACTTTTTCAAATTGCAAGAGCGAGAGAAAGGAATGGAAGAGATGTTTCACATGTAAAATGCATAAAAGATGATTCTGGAAGGATTTTGACTGACGATGAAAGTATAAAGAAGCGATGGAAGGAGTATTTTGAGAAATTGATGAATGAGGAGAATGAATGGAATGGTATGCTTGAAAACCCACCAGTGAATATGGGCTTAGTGAGAGAAATTAGTGTGGAAGAAGTAAAAATGGCTGTTAGGAATATGAAGAATGGGAAGGCGGTCGGCCCAGATGGAATACCAGTAGAAGTGTGGAAGTTGCTGAGGGCGGATGGATGGAAGTGGTTGAGTTTATTTTTCGGTAAATTGTTGCAGGAAGAACAAATACCTGAGGAATGGTGCAGTAGTATACTGGTTCCCATTTTTAAAAACAAAGGAGACGTTCAAAACTGCAGCAGTTACCGGGGAATAAAGCTCATGTCACATACGATGAAAGTCTGGGAAAGAATAATAGAGAGAAGAATGAGAGAAGAGTGTGAGATAACACAAAACCAGTTCGGATTCATGCCCGGTCGAGGTACGACAGATGCCATTTTCGCATTACGCCAATTGTGCGAAAAGTACAAGCGCGTGCATAAAGATCTGCACATGGTTTTTGTCGACCTTGAAAAGGCGTACGATAGGGTTCCCCGTGAGGTCTTGTGGTGGGCGTTAAAGATGAAAGGTATGCCTGGGAAGTATGTGAGGTTGGTCCGTGCTATGTACAGAACATCCCGTACATGTGTACGATCTGCCGCGGGAACTACGGGCAGTATCGGTGTGGCGGTAGGGCTGCACCAATGGTCGGCACTGAGCCCTGTTTTGCAGGGGACTGGTCATTTTTTCTAAACACACTATAATAATACTTGGATATCTTTAACGGAAATTCATTAACGCATAAAAATGGCTACCTTAAAGATTTATTACCAAAATTTCAGAGGTCTGAAAACTAAAACCAAAGACGTGAGACTTGCAACGTTGTTAGGAGACTACGATTTTATTGTTGGGACTGAAACCTGTATTTAGCAACAACTATTAAGTATACCGAAGAGATCGCCAATACACCAGCCTGGCCGGAAAAGGTGGCGGAGTCGTTTTGGTCACCGTTTCCATTAAGTACCACTGTAAGAGAATGTTTCACTATGAAAGCACTGGAGAGGATTTGTAGATATCAGTAAATATATCGACAGATAAAGCGATTTTAATTTGTGCCATTTACATACCACCACCAACTACCGTGTCGTCACTCAAACCTATAATAGACAACTGCAGTGATGTGATTTTATCTCATTCCGGTGATGTCATTGTTTTAGGTGATTTCAACCTCGGATTTATAGACTGGAATAAAGCTTTAAGTGGATAATGTAACTTGACTCCATTAAATTATCAGTGTAGCTCAGGGCACTTATTGATTGACTTTATGTCGTTAAATAATTTTAACAGTTTAATTATATTGCAAACCATAACAGTCGTATCTTAGATCTCGTCCTAAGTAACTTAGATAGTATAATAGTCGATAATTGTATTAATACGCTCTGCAAATTAGATTCACACCATACAGCTCTGTCGATTGGGCTCAGTTTAAATAAGTATCACTCTTTACGTAACAAGCAATTTGCAACGTATAACTACAAAAAAGCTGATTACTCAATTGTAAAAAGTAAATTAAGTCATATCGATTGGATCAGAGAACTGTCGGATCTGGATGACGTTGACATCTACTTATACAAGCTGTTATTCAATCAACTGTACCCATAACTAAACCTCGTAGTCCGAAATATCCACATTGGTTTACAGGAAACCTTTTAAAACTAATAGCCGAAAGAAATAGAATTCATTCAAGATACAAGATTTACCGGAATCCTAGAGATAAGATTAAACTTATCTTATCTAATAAACGCTTAGAGTCATTAATGTCATCTTGCTACAATACATATTTAAAAAACACTGAATATGCTCTAAGTAAAAACCCAAAAATTATGGTCTTATGTCAAATCATTACGTGGAGGTCTTTCCAACATACCATCTGAGATGCATATAGACGACAAGGTTGCGCGTGGTAGTGACGAAATACGTAATCTTTTTGCAACACGTTTTTCTTTGATTTACTCTCCCCCTGACAATGCAACGCAACCGGATCTAGGAGATTGCTATCCACAATTAATTCTTAGCAACGTTGAAATTACAGAGCGAGACGTCGAGAAAATATTAAAGTCAATTGACTCTAATAAAGGTGCTGGACAGTACGGCATCCCACCCTACTTTATTAAAAACACTTATAAATATTTAACTCTCCCACTTAAATTGCTTTTCAGTAAATCAATTAAAACTGCAAAATTTCTTGACAAGTAGAAAATTTCCAATGTGATTCCCATCTACAAAATGAAGACAAACGCAATATTGAAAACTACCGACCTGTATCTTTATCAAGCTTGTTTCCTAAACTTATAGAAAAAATACTCTGCCCCATTTTGTTTTCACATTTATCAAAGGTAATTTCTAATTTTCAGCATGGTTTTTGCGCAAATCAGTCTACAGTTAGTACCTACTAGAACACACCTCGAACTTGGCGAGATACGTTCATAAAAATAAAGAGGTTGATGCTATATACACCGATTTTAGTAGCGCGTTCGATAAAGTTAACTTTTGTCAGCTTTTGTAGCTCAGGACCGTGCTTTGTGGCATTCCTTGGGGGAGGCCTAAGTTCAGCAGTGGACTTATGAAAGGCTGTAATGATGATTGATAATATTGCATCCAAAGTATGGAAGATGGCAGGATTCATAAAGCGAATATGTAAGGATTTGCGAAACCCTATATCTATTCTCACTATATACAAAGCTCTTATTTGTAGTACACTAGAATATGCATCACCTGTTTGGAACCAATCATACCAAATTCACAGTGATCGAATAGAGCGAATCCAGCGCAATTTTACCCGCTACTTAGCCTTTAAATATCAAACTTGTCCTTACCGTGCTGACTATAATACTAGGCTATCCCACTTCAAATTAGAGTCTCTCGAAAAACGACGTCGACTTAGCGATATTAATACACTTTATAAGCTAATTCACGGCCTCCTACTATCACCGGCACTGTTAAATAAAATAAGTATCAGAGTTCCAAGAACTATACCAAGACATCCGATTACCAAAATCTTTTGTTTACCTAAGCACAGAACAAAATTAGGTAATCGAGCACCAATAAATAGGTTGATGCAAATGTATAACGACATAACCACCAACGGTGATGTCGACATTTTCCATACGGATAACGTGTCAGAATTTGTTAGATTATGTAATAAGTATTTATATCTGTTTCGCTCTTCTTCAAGTTTATCATTTTTTTTATTGTAAGCAAATTACTTTTAAATTTATTAATAATATTGGTCTAGTTAAGTAAGTTACCAATTGTCTTATTGTAGCTGCATTATTTTTGCCAATGTTGTATATACGTTTAGAACAAATCCAATTGTGTTATATTTAACAATGTCTAGTGATAAGCCAATGGTGTATCAGTTGAAATAAATAAATAAATAAAAGACTGAAGCTTCACATCCCGTCCCGCTATGAGATAAAGAGTATAATCGGAGAGTTTTTGTGTTCTTCTACGGCGGATCTTGCAAAACTTAGCTCCAACAACATGGACAGTTTCTGAGCTTGTCTTTCATATCGTCCACTGCATTGCAATCTTCTAGGCACTGAAAATGGTTTCGTAGCTTGAGCTGAAAGATTTCGGGACTTTGGGTTATAGCACGAGGGGGACTGAGCATTGACTTCATTAGACGTGACCTCTCCAACTTAACATTTAGGTTCAGTGTGCCTCTCACCATTCGATGCTCGCTGCCAGTTTTCACCTTCTCGATCACTGAGACATCACTGAACAGTTGTCGTCTGGTTGTTATAATGAAGGTAATCTCATTTTTTGATCTCGAACCGTCGGGGTTTGGTTTGATCCACTTTCTGTGGGGTCGTTTTTAAAATAAAAGTGTTCATCATTTAGAGTCCCTCTTTCTCCATGAAGTGGGCCAGCTGCTGGCCCCTTGGATTTTGTTGCCCTATTCCTAATTTCTCTACTTTCAGCTTACCGTTCTCTCTTGTGCCTAGTTTTGCGTTGAAGTCTCCCTTTAATTAGTGGATTTTGGACGAATGCATGGCTCTAGAGATATCCTCATACATTTGCTCCACCTCCTCATCGAGATGAGCCGAGGTTGGTGCTTAAACCTGTATGACCTTCAGCGAATACCGTTTGGTGATTCTGAGTATAAGCAACCCTCGTCGACACACTCCCAATCTTTAAAACGTTGTTAACAAGAGACTTGGACGATAAATCCAACACCTCCATGGTCGCCCTCTCGGTGATAGAAGAAGTTGCCAGATTCGAGGATTACCGTGTCCTCCTCCTCTCTTCGGACCTCGGATAATCCTATGATATTCCAGCGCAACTTGTATATCTCTTCATCCAGCTCCAGGATCTTCTCGTCAGTCCTCGGGGTGCGTACGTTGTATGTTGCCAGGTCGAGTCGTCTAAGGTGGCAACCGAACCTCCACCGGATATTCTTAGCACCCCCTGCCCCGCCGTTACCATGGTCGCCGCCGTAGCCAGGAATAGGGCCGCCGCCGGGGACTGGGGGCCTTCTATTCGTTATTATCCTGGGAGGTATATATTTTTATTGTTGCTTTGCTGTTATCAGAAAGATTCTGCTACCCATTCTCTGCCTCAGTTTGCCTCTGTCGCCTCTTACGACACCCATGGGAAAATATGGGGTAGTGAGTATTTTTACCCGCCACTACACGGGGTTACTAAATATAGAAGTACTTTATTCGCAGATGACGTCACGATAATAGTGACAACAAATAAATATACGGCACTGACGAAACATATTTTTGACATTAATGAAACAATATTTGAAGTAACTAAATGGCTAAGTAATATTAATTTAACAATAAACTTAAGTAAAACTCAATATATAAATTTTAAAAATATAACTGATAATTTAATGAACGATAATTATAATAGACAAACTCCTTGTAGTGCAACTAACGTGACATTTCAAGGTATATTTATTGACAAAGAATTAGAGTAGAAAGAACAAGTTTGTAAAATATGTAACAAACGCAAACTGCAATTATGATATATTTTGCATATATTGAGTCGATTATCCGCTTCGGGATTATAATTTGGAGCAACAGTGCAGAGATTAATAAATTTTTATAGCACAAAAAAAATGTGTTCGTGCCAATCATGGTGTTGGCCCAGATGTCTCATACCGACCTCTATTTAAGACACTGGGGATCTTACCCGTGTCTTGTTTGCATGTATTCTAAATTACTTATTTTGTAAAACAACACGGAAAGAGTTTTTATAAACATAATAAAGAAGTGGTATCCATGAACACGAGATACCCAACTCGGATATTAATTAGCAAAATATCAAAAAGTAAACGCTTTAGTTGTTACTGGATGGGTAAAACAATATATAATAAAATACCAAACATAATTAAAGATCTTCCTAGGTCTTGCCAATATGTGACGAAGTTGGAACACCATGGGTCTTCAATCAGTGCTAGTTCGACATATTCCATCCACGCCCCCGGTATGCGCAGGCATTTTCCTATGTAAAAAAAGAATTATAGTGCGTAAGCGTTGACACACTCTCTTTTCCCTTACTTTCATAATCCGATGGGCAGGTAATCCCTCAACCAGAGATCAAGCACAGGACCAACGGTTTAACGTGCTTTTCGAATCACGAGGCGAAACACCGTCGTCTTCCTGACTCCGAGCTGCTACTGACTTTTGGCCGAATCTGGGATTTCATTGTCAGTAGTCATCTTTACGGTTACTAGACGAGAT